CCTCTGTTGTTTGCCATTTATATAAATGATCTTTCTTTATGTGGCCGCGTGACTTATTTGCAGACGAGTGTACAGTCTATACAAGTGCTCAAACGTGGGATATTCTAGAGTCCTCTTTACAACAGGAATTAAACAATGTTGTTTCCTGGAGCTATGCAAACTGCATGCAAGTAAACATTAGTAAAACACAATGCATGGTAATATCAACAAGACAAAAGCTATATTCTTTATCTGTACATAAGACTCTTCAACTGCGCACAAAGCTTAAGGCGTAATTATTGATAAAAATTTAAACCTTCGCTTCTCATGTGCAAGCTCCAGTGAAACAGCTAAAAAGTATACCAGCTTGCAGAAATTAAACACTTTCTGGATGAAAACACCAGAAGGATTTTTAGTTCCCATCTAGGCTTTTGCTCCACAGTATGGGATGGCTGTCCAAGTTCAGTCATGAAACCGCTTAAAGCACTTCAAAAAAGAGCTGTACGCTTAGTCAGTAATAATCATGGAAGAGATAGATCCAGTTTACATAAAGATCCTAAGTAACTACCCTTCCATAAACAACTACTTTTCGATAAGGCCAAAGTTATTAACATAATTTTATTTTAAAAAATGCTCCAGATTACCTTTGGCCATTCTTCAAGTATGACTGGCGACAAAGCAAACGCCTAAACATATTACACATCCCTAAACCTAGAATAGACTTGTAAAAAACAAGCTTGGCGTACTCTGCAGCTCATCTGTGGAACCAACTTCCACAACCAATCAAAAATATCAACCACCCCCATAAATACAATTGGAAGCTTTTTGAATATTATCTCACTTCAGGCTACATGCCCCCCCCCCCCCCCTTTAGAAGATAATAGTTTCCTAAGAATACTGTTGATTTCCACCAAGATTTATTATACTTAGTATTATAATTGTTTGAAAATGTAGGCATACTTAGAATACATTGTTACAAAGATGTTGTTGATGTTGCTTATTAATACTATTATTATTGATATTATTATTATTACTATTACTATCTGCTGAAAATATGTGTGTATAAATAATGTATGCATTGCGTGTGGCCAGAAGGGCAGAATGGCCTGTGTGCCAAATTCTTAACCCTTTGAAAAAAAAGTTTGTTCGTTTGTTCGTTCGTTCGTTCGTTCGTTCAGGCAGCAGATATGCTCTTTGCCACAAGGCCCCAACAGATACTACACTTTGATCTTAGCCAAGAGGCCCCAACAGATACTACACTTTGATCTTTGCCACGAGGCCCCAACAGACACTACACTTTGATCTTTGCCACGAGGCCCCAACAGACACTACACTTTGATCTTTGCCACAAGGCCCCAACAGACACTACACTTTGATCTTTGCCACGAGGCCCCAACAGATACTACACTTTGATCTTTGCCACAAGGCCCCAACAGACACTACACTTTGATCTTTGCCACGAGGCCCCAACAGATACTACACTTTGATCTTTGCCACGAGGCCCCAACAGATACTACACTTTGATCTTAGCCAAGAGGCCCCAACAGATACTACACTTTGATCTTAGCCAAGAGGCCCCAACAGATACTACACTTTGATCTTAGCGACGTGGCCCCAACAGATACTACACTTTGATCTTTGCCACGAGGCCCCAACAGATACTTCACTTTGATCTTTGCCACGAGGCCCCAACAGATACTTCACTTTGATCTTTGCCACGAGGCCCCAACAGATACTTCACTTTGATCTTTGCCACGAGGCCCCAACAGATACTACACTTTGATCTTAGCCACGTGGGCCCAACAGATACTACACTACACTTTGATCTTAGCCAAGAGGCCCCAACAGATACTACACTACACTTTGATCTTAGCCAAGAGGCCCCAACAGATACTACACTTTGATCTTTGCCACGAGGCCCCAACAGATACTTCACTTTGATCTTTGCCACGAGGCCCCAACAGATACTACACTTTGATCTTTGCCACGAGGCCCCAACAGATACTACACTTTGATCTTTGCCACGAGGCCCCAACAGATACTTCACTTTGATCTTTGCCACGAGGCCCCAACAGATACTTCACTTTGATCTTTGCCACGAGGCCCCAACAGATACTACACTTTGATCTTAGCCAAAGGCTGAAAAGGGAAGCACATATAAAACTCTATACACTGTAAAACTATGACGAATTTAAAATAAAATTGGGGGGGGGGAGAGGGGGGGGGGGGTAAATTACAAGTTTAAATGACAGAGAAATGCAGAGGTTTTTAATTTATGTTGCTTCGTTTCCACATAGAAGTTGTATGCAGTAGCTATGTGCTGTCTTCGGGAATATCACCTCCGTTAACTCGTTGGATTACGAGTCGGACTCGCAACCTCTTAGCCACGGACAGAAACAGTAGTGAATATAAAAACACAAACCACGCATTCTAGCATCTCAGTATAAATAGTGGGTAAAAAACCACTTGGATAACCTTCAGCTATCTAGACCTGGAAGAGAAGGGACTAGTAATATGGACCCTCAAAGACAAGAATCTTCAGTCTTTAGTCTGCGAGACTTGAAAGAAGATGAACTAAGCCTCGCAGACGAGAATCTTCAGTTGTAGAGATGCTAGCTCAACACTAGAAGAAGAGGAATCAGTCATGGAGCCTCAAAGACAGTCACTAGAGAGAAGACATGAAACAAAACAATGAACTACAGAGACGACACACAAGATACATGGATCCATGGTAAACAGATACAGATTAGATAAAAACATTACTACGATATTAGAATCGACACTCAAGCTGTTAGTACCAGACAGCACTAGAAGCCAGGTGGCATTTACAGACACTAGACTCAGGTAACCATGTAACTAGAGATGAAAAACATAACGCAACCATAAGAGTATGTAGCCATAGAGAGAAAACATCGGTCATTCAGAATACCACTGATGTTATTTATTGCATTTAGAGATGACACTAAAGATCATCATCATCAGCTGCCTTGCTGACTGGTGTGGGCGGTCATGCCTCTCCACAATCCGCAATCTGATGCAGCATGATTTAGTGTGTGCGCTGAAACAACTCCATGCCATGCAACAAGACTGTCAAGAAACTTCTCTCGTTGTCTACTTCTAACCCTTCTTCCACAGATCTTTCCAGTGGTCACAACATTTTCCATTTTTCCTCTTCTCATAACAAGACCAAAAATGATGAATGTCTCCTTCTGATGTCTGTGATAAGATGTCTTGGGCTCCCGCCTCTTTCAAAACCTCTTGGTTACTCGTTTTGATTGTCCAAGGTATTTTAAGTATTATTCTGTAAAACCACATCTCTAAGGCCTCAATAACTTTTTTGACCTGCCTACTGATCGTCCAAGACTCACAGCTATATGTAAAAACTGGATGTATGTAGCAAGCAAGAATTCTTTTTCCAACCCTCAGTGACAGAGATATATTGCATAAGATGTTCTTCATTTTATCAAATGCAGTTTTTGCCTGTCCAATTCTTGTTTTTTTTCTCTCTCTGTAATGCGTCTTCCATTTGATGCTATCCATGTGCCCAGATATTTAAATGTCTGTACTTGTCCCAAAATAACACAAATGACAATAAAGATAGTACATGAAAAAGAATACTTGTTTCAAGACATTTTATTAAACAAGCATGAGTGACGTAAGAAGCATGTAGCAGGCATGAGAGACCATCATCATCATCACTATCGACTCGACCACCTTTCCCTTCGTCTACATTCCCTAATTGACTCTACTCGTAGCGAACCATAAGAGGAACCTGGGTGTGACATCAGCGTACACAAAGAAGACAGCTGTGCTAGAATAGCCAGCTCAAGTAAATGGACCTGTTTGAAGCCATTCAGTTCGCGCTACCAGCACCATATGTGCTGACCCAGTCCGCGGGTCTCTGCTGCCTATAACTAAGTAGAACTGAAAAAGTGTCAAGGAGGGAGGAGGTTAGCCTAATGAGTTAGGGCCGAATAGCCATGCAGCGCCATCTTTAGAACGAGGGCCTCCCCATCGGCCAGCTGTCCCTCTAATGATGTGCGATGTGATCATCGCTACGCCCGCTGCACAACTTATTCCACAGTAAACAACCCCCTTCTAGAGTGAGCTTGGCACATTGAAGTAGACAAAAGCGAAGTCCATAACAAGATGTGGTGGATACCCTTCTGGTCACCTCGACTTACCACCGTCAATCTGTCCTCGACTTACCACCGTCAATCTGTCGACTTATCACCGTCAATCTGTCCTCGACTTATCACCCTCAGTCTGTCCTAATATCAATTTTTTTAGTGGGTTGACCTCAGCGTCATGTCAGTTTTAAAACATGACCATCGACCCCCCCCCCCCCCCCCCCCGGCCTCCTGATGCACGGGGAGTCAGACACTACCTTACCTGCACATCATGGAGCGGCACATACTCCAATATAGTAAATGCAAGACATGAAAAATCAAGCTCGCTTTTCCCCTGCCTTTAGGCGTATAGGGCATATAGGGCTAGACCTACATTTTACGGACTAAACGTCACAAACGGATGATGTGGTAAGCATCACGTCGGCCGCCTTTACTTCCCGGGTTTGTACCCGTTACCCACTCAAGCCTGGGTAGACCTGGGAGTCCAGATTATTTTTGAAAAAATGTCTGGCTCTGCCAGGGAGCGAACCCACGACAAGGGCAATACATGCAAGGTTACAACTGATACCGATGTGATCTCATTTTATAATGCTGGTTATGATTTCTGATTAGATTTGAATATTGTAAATAGAAACTCTGGAGATATTCATTGGAGGCGTCTTTTCAGTTGATTCAAGATATCATGGAATAAACGCATGAAAAACACCTGTGAAGTGCAGGCATGCATGAATTGACATCACTGCACTCGCGACATTCCCACACGTGCACCGTCCCCCTGTTCTTTTTTTTTTTTCGCCTAACACATGGGACAGGCGGAGTTAGGTGGCAACTCTTTGCAATGAAATAGTTATGAGTCGCAAGCATGTCGTAGTGTGCAGTGTGGCACGTTGCTTAATTCTGGCAGTCAATCATGACCTTGATGGAGTGTCTCCCCTCCCGGACCAAGCTGATGGCGTCGTTGATTTGCTCCAGTGGAAGAACGTGTGATATCAATGGAAGCACCTTGACTTTCCCAGCCGACACCAGCTTTACTGCCTCTGGAAAACTAAACGAGATTATATAATTACAGAGAGGTATCCAGGAAACATAGAGGCTGAATTACAAACTAGGCTACATGTTTTCCCAGTGGACATTTATTAAAAATGCAATGAGGGCTTTTTTAGAGCGTTGCAGACTGCACTGTGGTGTCTGAAGCAGTCCCAGGACTCGGTATTGTTGTGTTGCACATTGTTTATCTAAATAATTTCCTTCCGAATGGCCTCATTTTCATAGTGACTATAACATAATGTAATGAAGCATTTGCATTTGAACTGTACGCCATATTGATGATGCATGCTGTCATAAAGTTCAACAAGGTCACTTTTAGTGATAAGGATTAGTTATAGGTGGCACTCCTTGGAGGTGTAGGCTTGTGACACCACCCGCCCTCCCCCTCCCCCCCCCCCCCCCACCACCCTCTTTTTGTTTAATAGGACGAGACAATAGAATACAACACATCAACATAACACCACAACGAAACAACAAGCCATTAAATTAACAACAACACATCAACATAACAACACCACAACGAAACAACAAGCCATTAAATTAACAACAACACATCAACATAACAACACCACAACGAAACAACAAGCCATTAAATTAACAACAACACATCAACATAACAACACCACAACGAAACAACAAGCCATTAAATTAACAACAACACATCAATACAACACCACAACGAAACAACAAGCCATTAAATTAACAACAACACATCAATACAACACCACAACGAAACAACAAGCCATTAAATTAACAACAACACATCAACATAACAACACCACAACGAAACAACAAGCCATTAAATTAACAACAACACATCAACATAACAACACCACAACGAAACAACAAGCCATTAAATTAACAACAACACATCAATACAACACCACAACGAAACAACAAGCCATTAAATTAACAACAACACATCAATACAACACCACAACGAAACAACAAGCCATTAAATTAACAACAACACATCAATACAACACCACAACGAAACAACAAACCATTAAATTAACAACAACACGGATCAGTGACCGGCATCTCCTGGGCAAGGATGCGATCAGATGTCTGGTGTGGGACTGTGGGATGGCTGCCCACTCTTCCTGGAGTGTCTGGAACAGATCATGTGGTCGAAGAATTTCACGGACGTATCGTTGCGCATTCAAGCTTCCTTTGATGTACACCAATTGACTCCTTCCGTTGTAACTGATTATTCCCCATACCATTACACCTCCACCCCCGTGCAGCAGAGCTTCATCAACACAATTTTCGGCCAATCCCTAATTTCCTCTACGGTAGACCCTACGCCGTCTATCATGACGCTGCAACAAAAAGAAAGATTTGTCACTGAACCAGACACGTCTCCACTGATTGTCACTTGCCCAGGGGCGATGTTGGTTGGCCCAAAGAAGTCGATTTTGGCGGTGGCGACGCGTAAGGTCAGGTCCTCGGTGTGGTCGTGACGCCCACAGTCCAACATCATGCAGTCTGTTCTAAACAGTTTGATCAGACACATGACGTCCTGGAGGCAATGCCTGGGCAGTTGAGGAAGCTGTTGTAAACCTGTCTCTGAGGTGACGAAGCCGAATAAAGCGATTCTCCGCTGCTGTTGTCACTCTGTGTCGTCCACTGCGATGTCGGTTTTCAACTAAACCAGTGGCTTGGAACCGGTGCCAAAGTCGACTGATGGTACACTGATGCACGTTTAGATGTCTGGCAACCTGACTTTGACTTTCTCCTGCCTGCAATCGGCCAATAGTGATATTCCTGAAATGTATCGATAGAGGCGCAATTCGTGACTGCTTGAAAATGAATAGATTGTTTTGATGTATCATTATCCTTTCACAGTGTTTTAATTGTGCGGGCAGTGAATAGTGTTCACCGCAAATTGTGTTGATTTCTCGTGCGCGCATTGTCAGCTATGCTCACAAATATGGTCTTAAACACAATTGACCACTGTGTTGTAACGATTACAAAAAACCCACGCAATTAACGCCCACGTGTCCACTGGACATTGTAAACAACATTTGAGTCTGCTTTTCACATACCCGATTACGATATTTCATTTACAAACTAATAAAAACGTGCTATCAGATAACTATGCGTTTCTTTTTTGAACAGTATATGTTCTGACGGTGTTAGTTTTGTTGTGTCTAAGGATAGGTGTTTCTAACATGCAGCTGCCAACGAACTATTTGCCTTGAAGGCAGTAAGCAGATCTGTGACATCGCTCCTTGCTTCTCTTGGTGCAGCTGGGTTTTTTTTCCTTCTGTTATAGTTCTTGCTTCTCTTGGTTCAGCTGGGCTGTTCGTACTGTTGTAGTTCTTGCTCCACTTGGTCACAATATACTCCCCATCAGCCCCCCCCCCCTTCTTCCCCACCCCTATATTTCCTACTGAAGATTCAAACCGACGACCACTGTGTGGCTAGCCGCGGTAACAAACATGGACCAGACACAAGAGGACTTACTTGTTGTTACAGAGAGCCCCAATGAGGTCTATCTCCCTCAAGGCCGCAGCTCTGATGGGGATGTTCATGACGTTTTCTCCGATACCCAGAATCACCACCCGACCTCCCATACGACAGACGTTGATGGCCATGTCCAGCGTCCCCCCAGCACCAGTACATTCCACAGCCAGGTCGACTTCCTCTTCTACTACTTCTTTAATGGCTTCAGCTGCAAAATACCACTTTTTGATCAGAGTACAGCATTTTTGTTGTGTTTTCTTGCAATCATTACATGCTTACCTGGTTAATACTTAAAATGTAAACTTGGCCAATCTGGTGAAGGTCTGAATCACCACTAACACACACACATACACGCCTGCGCGCGCGCACACTTGACTGTAGATTACATTATTACCATTATATTATTCCCAGTACAATAACATTGTTGTTGTTCCCCGAACAATAACCGCTTTATGGTTCCCAAAACAATAAGCGTTTTGTGGTTCACCGAACAATAACCGTTTTCTGGTTCCCCGAAAAATAACAGTTTTATGGTTCTCCGAACAAAAACCGTTTTATGGTTCCCTGAACAAAAATCATTTATGGTTCCCCGAACAATAACCGTTTTATGGTTCCCCGAACAATAGCAGTCCTATGGTTTACCAAACAATAACCGTTTTATGGTTCCCCGAACAATTATCGTTTTATGGTTCCCGAACAATAACCGTTTTAGGGTTCTCCGAACAATAACCGTTTTATGGTTCACCAAACAATAAGCTTCTTATGGTTCACCGAACATTAACCGTTTTATGGTTCCCCGAACAATAACCGTTTTATGGTTCCCCGAAAAAACACTGTTTTATAGTTCCCAAAACAATAACAGTGTTATGGCTCCCAGAACAAAAACTGTTTTATGGTTCCCAGAACAATAACCGTCCTGCTTGGATGTCCGATTGAACGATCTTTCTGGGATGTGTACCTGTTTGTTTCTCATCGTTAAGATGCGCATCCTAGAGACAGCAGTAATGGGGGATATGGGCAGGGAGGGGAGAGCACTCGTGTGTTACGGCTGCTCATTTCTTGCTAGTAAACACTGGAAGTATGGAGGATGAACAGGCTCTAACGAAATCCTCCATATTGCGTTACAGATGGGTAGAGGATGTAGAGGTCGGCATCTACTATGATCCACAAATGTATGCACGCAGGATATGAATGATACCATTACTGAGGTGTCTTGTTGGTAAAGGGATTCTGTGGATCGTATTGCATGGGGAGAGAACATCAGAAGACAGTAGGTATATCGGAGACAATGATTGCAGAAAGGTTCAATACCAAATGTCAAGAAAGAAACACTTTACATTCACAGAACGGCAACACTGATGCCCACATTCTGTACACTAATTGTGAAAATAACTGACACACTCTGAGACGAAATGAGCAAGCAACTTCAAAACAGGCACTGAAATAAGAAACAAACGGTCTGAGAAAAAAATAATCAACAAAAAAAATTTAAGAACAACATTATTGCGAGAGGCAAAAAAATGCTGGGCTGAACTCTGTGTCAGACATCGAGAACTTTGCACGCAATAAAGCAGAGTGAAGGATTCAAACACGAGCCCTGTATGATGTCTAACGGCATACAACGGATGATGGTGCTTATGTTGAACCCAGTCACCACCACACAGAACATGTCTCACCTGTCCCAGTCACCACGACACAGAACATGTTTCACCTGTCCTAGTCACCACGACACAGAACATGTTTTACCTGTCCCAGTCACCACGACACAGAACATGTTTCACCTGTCCCAGTCACCACGACACAGAACATGTTTCACCTGTCCCAGTCACCACGACACAGAACATGTCTCACCTGTCCCAGTCACCACCACACAGAACATTTCCCACCTGTCCCAGTCACCACCACACAGAACATGTCTCACATGTCCCAGACACCACCACACAGAACATGTCTCACATGTCCGAGTCACCACCACACAGAACATGTCTCACCTGTTATAGTCACCACCACACAGAACATGTCTCACCTGCTCCAGTCACCACCACACAGAACATGTCTCACCTGTCATAGTCACCACTATACAGAACATGTCTCACCTGTCATAGTCACCACCACACAGAACATGTCTCACCTGTCATAGTCACCACCGCACAGAACATGTCTCACATGTCCCAGTCACCACCACACAGAATATGTCTCACCTGCGCCAATGACCACCACACAGAACTTGTCTCCCCTGTCCCTATCACCACCACAAAGAACATGTCTCACCTGTCCCAGTCACCATCACACAGAACATGTCTCACCTGTCCCAGTCACCATCACACAGAACATGTCTCACATGTCCCAGTCACCACCACACAGAATATGTCTCACATGTCCCAGTCACCACCACACAGAACATGTCTCACATGTCCCAGTCACCAGTACACAGACCATGTCTCACCTGTCCCAGTCACCACCACACAGAACATGTCACACCTGTCCCAGTCACCACCACACAGAACATTTCTCACCTGTCCCAATCACCACCACACAGAACATGTCACACCTGTCCCAGTCACCACCACACAGAACATGTCTCACCTGTCCCAGTCACCATCACACAGAACATGTCTCACCTGCTCCAGTCACCACCACACAGAACATGTCTCACCTGTCATAATCACCACTATACAGAACATGTCTCACCTGTCATAGTCACCACCACACAGAACATGTCTCACCTGTCATAGTCACCACCGCACAGAACATGTCTCACATGTCCCAGTCACCACCACACAGAATATGTCTCACCTGCGCCAATGACCACCACACAGAAATTGTCTCCCCTGTCCCTATCACCACCACAAAGAACATGTCTCACCTGTCCCAGTCACCATCACACAGAACATGTCTCACCTGTCCCAGTCACCATCACACAGAACATGTCTCACATGTCCCAGTCACCACCACACAGAATATGTCTCACATGTCCCAGTCACCACCACACAGAACATGTCTCACATGTCCCAGTCACCAGTACACAGACCATGTCTCACCTGTCCCAGTCACCACCACACAGAACATGTCACACCTGTCCCAGTCACCACCACACAGAACATTTCTCACCTGTCCCAATCACCACCACACAGAACATGTCACACCTGTCCCAGTCACCACCACACAGAACATGTCTCACCTGTCCCAGTCACCATCACACAGAACATGTCTCACCTGTCCCAGTCACCACCACACAGAACATGTCTCACCTGCCCCAATGACCACAGCAGAGTACGAGTCTTACCTCCTCCAATGACCACAGCAGAGTACGAGTCTTACCTGCTCCAATGACCACAGCAGAGAACGATTCTCACCTGCTCCAATGACCACAGCAGAGATGTCTCACCTACCCTAATCACCACTACACAGAACACGTCTCACCTGCTCCAATGACCACCACACAGAACATGTTTAACCTGTCTCAATGACCACCACACAGAACATGTCTAACCTGTCCCAGTCACCACCACACAGAACATGTCTCACCTGCCCCAATGACCACAGCAGAGAACGAGTCTTACCTGCTCCAATGACCACAACAGAGAACGAGTTTCACCTGCTCCAATGACGACCACACTGAGATGTCTCACCTACCCCAATCACCACTACACAGAACACGTCTCACCTGCTCCAATGGCGACAACACAGAGAAGTCTCACCTGCTCCTTTCACCACCACACAGAACATGTCTCACCTGCTCCAATGACGACCACAACTTCTCCCTCAGCAATGTTTCCGCGGTGGAGACCATGAAGCGCCACAGACAAGGGTTCCATGACTGCTCCAGCTTGTAGACTCACATTCTCTGGCAGTCTGTGAATATTTACATTCGAAATGTTGCCACGACTTTTTTTTTAAACAGATGCTTATCTGTGGTTATGGGGTAACGAACACCAGGTCATAACTCAGCCATACCAGGGTTTTTAGTTGGCTGCCATGTGGCATCTGACGAGTCCGCTTTAAGGTCAGCAACGATATGAGCGTCGACCGTTCAGTCCGATATCGAATTATTGAACGAACAAACCGCCTGAAAGACTCCTAGACAACCGACATATATCTGAGGTTAGGTGGATACGACTAATACAGGATATTTATACTAGCGCCTTCCTGTATTTCGTGCGTTCATTTAAATAAAGTCAACTGTCAACTCATTCCTAACCGTGACCTCATCACGAATTAAATTTTCAAATATTATTATACCTATAATGTTTAATTTAACAGTCACATTGGCGGCCAGGTTTATGAATATTTCTTTAGTTAACTGCAACAATCAGCAAAAGTGAACATTTCTCGGATTTACAACCCTTTCGATATTTTCTTCTGTCACATCCCTTGAAAAAAATTTTTTTTTTTTGACATCCAAAAAATTTCTAGTGCCATAAAAACTCGTCTTGTCTTTTTCATTCAATTATTATCTCTACTAGTTCCATCATCCTTAGCGACCTGTAAAAGATACGCAACTAATTTTGTTATTGTGAGAATTTTACAATTCGCTTTATGCTACATACACTTTTAATATGTTACCTATTGTAGTTTAAGACGCATTTCAGTTATATGTTTGTCCATGGGAAACAGGTTGTGAAATTCAAATGCTGACAGCATGCTTTTGAATGTATATTTAGGCAGGAGATATCACAAGAGTAGAGTCTGAACTAAACATTCCTCGATGACTTGAAATTTTGCAAAATCTACGGAGGTTTTCACACATCCGAAAAAAAAATAATGTACACATATTGATTGCTCACAAGTGTGATCACTACGTAACATATACATATTACGCCATATTTAGATAGAATTGCTGTAGCAATGTGTTGCATGATGTGTTGTGTACTAACGAGGTTATTAGAATGCATTTATGCAAGAGGTCAGTTGGGTGTGAATGTGTGGAGCAGGTTTTGCTCGATATTCGTGGCTGACTGCAAACACCCTGAGCTGTAGCGGGAAGATGAGATCCACGTTAAACTGACCACTGTAGCTGTGAGTGCATGCATGTTTGATTAAGCAAAGGTTAAAGGTTTAAATTTTTAATTTGAGACGATCGACTTCATTGCGTATGGCTCGGTCTCTCTCTCTCTCTCTCTCTCTCTCTCTCTCTCTCTCTCTCTCTCTCTCTCTCTCTCTCTCTCTCTCTCTCTCTCTACTGAATGGTGGCCGCCTGCCGAGAGTTTCTCACAGAGGACGAACTCAGCAGCTCCGACAAAGATCTCTAGAGAGAACCAACGACCTTCAGAGCGTGAGGAAAAAGGCCTGACCCCTTTGCCACGGTATGGTTCTGGAGCATTCGGTCAGTGAAAGAGTTTGAACGCTTGTTCGTCTTGTGTGACATCTGACATCGAAGACGGTGTCAGTTTCTGCCCGTGTGTGGTGGGGTCGCCACTTGTGCAGCTATGTGTCACGCTGGTTGACCGGCGGTCACTGTATGCTGACAAGTTTGAGACTGTGGTGGACAAGTGCCAGAGGATCATTCCAGGTGTGACAAGGTATTTAACGATGTTCGGGATGTCATTGGCCAGTTGGATGCAACTACACTTAAGAGCTCAGATGACTGGGGTTCTTGGATAAAGAGTTGCCAGAGGACGGTCAGGGCTGTCAGTGAAAGATGGATTCTTCGCGATTGGGCGAGAGGTGCCCGCAAAATCCATATAGGCATAGATTATAAGCGTGTATTGTGTTCCGTCCAGTTGTGGAGACTGGGGAGAACTGTTCGGACGGTATCGTGTGTCAGCAAAGCATACTTTAATCGTACTTGTTTCCAGGTGCGAATAATCCATTAGATGAATGAGAGCGACCGAGGGACTACTCGCTCATCGTACCTCGTGAATTCCATCGCCATTGTCGTCATGTGTTCGTCTTTATGAAACAATACTGACTGCATGAATGAATATGTGGAGTGATTTATTAGTTTCGTTAAGCAGTTGTTGGTGTTGTCAGTAGACTTAAATAGTGCTAGCCCAGAAAGGAAGGACCTCAGTCGTAAACCATGTACACTCAGGTAGTCAGTGCAATGGTAAACATGGCGGTGTCATATCGTCATATCACTGACTATTTCAGAACCGATGATTTCAGAACTGATGATTTCAGAACTGATGATTTCAGAACTGATAATTTCAGAACTGATTATTTCAGAACTGATGTTTTTCAAAAGTGTCTGGAGGCTAACGGGAATTATTTTCATCACGTCTGGTAAATTCATAAATCGCACATAACTTGTTTGCTCTCTCGTTTGTTGTCATATCTTTTCATGAATACATTTAGTGACAATGTTCACACAGGTGGTTAGCTAGAAAACTCCATGCAGCCGATTGCTACCGTCAGGTTTTCAAATACCGCAAATAGTCTACGTGTAGATAGATACACTTCACTGCTGGGTGATTCTGTGTTAACATTATGTGTGTGTGAAGTGTATGTCTGTGTTTGGGTATAAATGTGTGGGTAGATGTATGTGTGTGTGGGTGTGTGTGTATGGCTTCCTCTGACAAGGCTATCCATACAAAAGTATGACTCCACCTACTGGACTGGGATATGATCAAGAGAAAGCAGACAACTATTTCCTGGTCCATTCTTGTCATCTCTGTCAGACGTCATATTGCTAAACTGTCAGAAAGTACAGGTCGCAAGCACGAGTGAATGTATTGAACGAGTGATGAATACTTTGATTAACTGATGGATTGACTGACTGACTTATTGATTCAGTGACTAAATTATCAAATGATTGACTGATTGACTGACTTACTGAATAATTGAGTGACTGACTTATTGATTGATTGACTGACAATCTGACTAAATGATGAACTTACTTGTGACAGGTGTAGGCGGGAGTCACCATAAACCTGGCGTAGCCACCGTCAATAGGAGGCAGACCGGCGTACTTGCCGTCGCTGCAGATGTTGTACCTTCGGTCTCCACAGTTCTTGCACTGGAAACAGGGCCGGTTGGTGTCTATGGTCACCCGGTCTCCGGGCTGTGACAAGATCAAGAACAGAGATTGCTTTCAGGTCACGCCAGTTTGATAAGTGAAAGACACAGGTTAAAAATGTGCAGTATTCAAGGCATTGGAGACAACAGAAAGCTGAAGAATATCTCCGACTCATTCTGTGGGATCTCAGCATCAATGACCAACTCTCTCATACACAGTATCATCTCTGGGAAACTGGGAAATCTGGCCAGATTACTCCCAGTCGACCAGAAAGAGGAGTAATGGAAGGCGCGGTTTGCAGGGGAAGATTTGTAGAACAAACGCAGCTACTGTAGACATCGGCAGTAGACATTTACTGGGACTACAAATATGATCAGGACAACTGACGGACAAGAGACTTCCTGTGCTGAAAAAATT